CCTCTCTGTGTGCGAGGGAGATGGCCATTTCAAAAAAAGCAGCTTCCAGATTTTTTTATCAATGAACAGGAGTTCTATCTGTATCTACAAGAAAGCAATTAGATAGTCCCCAAAGAGCATGTGCTTTAATCCTGGATTAATCATGTGGGCAGTAAGCAACAGATTTTGTGTTTATTGTGTTTGGATCTCCATTTAAGAATTAACCGTAACCCTGGAGCTTTAACAGACCGAGCAGAATTCAGTGTTTTAAGGGTGTGTGTCTTCATGAAATCATCGAAAACGACTTGCTGGCTGCCTTGCCATCAGAAATTGTGTTTTCTTCCCCTTCCAGGTGATCCACTGCAGCGGCTACTTGAAGATCCGCCAGTACATGCTCGACATGTCCCTGTACGACTCCTGCTACCAAATCGTGGGGCTGGTGGCTGTGGGTCAGTCTTTACCTCCCAGTGCAATCACTGAGATCAAACTCCACAGCAACATGTTTATGTTCAGAGCAAGCCTGGACTTAAAGCTCATATTCCTGGATTCCAGGTAAGCAGCGCTTCGGTTTCGAGCATCGAAATGTTTTTTGAGGCTGAGCGTTACCGGCGGTTTCCAAACACATCAAAACCCCCCCCAAAAAAAAAATAAAGCAGGCCAAAATAGATCTGGAACTCGAAGGCCATGGGAGCCTTCAAAGCCTTTCAGGCAGCTGGATAGACCACGCTTTGTCTCGAATGCCAAGAAATAGGAGCCTGGACAATTTAACCTGGAGTTACCTAGGGTTTCAGGGAGTCTGAAGCCTTCTGGCAGCGAGTTTTTGTCACATGAGCAGTGATGCATTTTTACCTTGAAGGGCATAAATCTTAACATACAGAGCTGGCAAAAGGAATGAGGGTGTACACAAAAAAAAACCCCACCTCAATCCACAACTGGAACACTGAGATCAAATGACTCGCTGGGGTCACCCAGAAGGCTTTTGACAGAGTAGTAAGAAAAGAGAGTCTTCTGCACTTTGTTGTAGTGCCTCAAGCATGAAACCAGTGCTCTTGATGGGGCGGTTGGCATGAAAATTAATTCCATTTTCTACTGCGTGGAAACACGACCTTCTCAGACAAAATATGGGGGAAAACAGCTATTGCTGAGGAAAGACAACCCTACCTGGTGGGAGTTCACTCACCAGCTAAGAAGAGCCCAGGACCAGAACTAAAACGGTTGATTTCCCTGGTTTTGAAGCAGAGCAACTTGTAACACACAATGGTACTTTGTAGAGTGCAGCTCAACATACCTGGAGGGGAAAAGCCCAGTACACACAGTATTGACAAGATGATTATCCTCCCAAAAATCCCTGCCTGTGGGATCTGTGTGTGGGATATGTGTCCCACACTCCCCTGGCGTGCTGGATTGGATTCATGTGTGGTAGTGACAAGGAGTCTGCATCCAAGACAGTGGGGAAGTTGGGCATGGCAGGCCAACCATGCAGGGACATGCTCCTTCTTCTTGCCGAGTCCAGTGGGCCATCAGCTGCCAAAACACAAAGAACTTCTTGTTTCTGGGATAATTCCTCTCTTTTTGGCACACGTTACTTAATGGAACAGCTATGAAGAAGCACGAGGGGGGTTTAGCAACGTGCCTTTGCATGTGGAATAAAATAAAAAAAAAAAAAAAAAAGGAAATGATGTGCCTGAGAGGAACTGCCTGGAGACATGAGTGTCTTCAAAGGAGACAGAATAACCAGAGGTGTTGACAGGAGCGTGGAGAGACCCCGAGCTGTGTTTACCAAAGAGCAGATGGGTGTCATCCACACACGGGGCCAGCAGGGGTGCTGAGCATTGCCAAAGCCTCCTGCTCTCCCAGCTGAGCAAACCAAGCTCTGTTTGCTCAGAGCAGGGCCATACTGGGAATAAGATTGAACTGCTTTCAGGCTTGGTTCTGGTGTCCGTGCGCGGGGAAGCGTTGCTGGATCTTCTGAGGTGACAGTCACGGCAGAGAGGGTGAAAGCCTCGGGAAGGAGGAGCTCAGTAACCTTTTCTAGACACTGATACAACATAAAACACCCAAGAGTCCATTCATTGAGGTCCCTGGAGAAAGGAGGCAGTCACTTCCCTCCAAAGTGAGCTGCTCCTTCTGATTTTCATGGTGCACTCACAGAATCCCAGAACATGCCGAGCTGGGAGGGACCCACAAGGATCATGGAGTCCAACTCTTAACCCTGCACAGGACCAGCCCCAAGAGTCACACCATGTGCCTGAGAGGATGGTTGCTATGTGCTTTAATAAAGCTTTAAAGACTTCTAGAGGCCAAAACTGATCCTTGGGGCAAACCCTCCTTCACTCTGCGTGCAGAGAACAACCCTGAGAGCCCAGGCTCCCTACAGCATCTCGTCGAGGGGTTGATTTTATGTTGAGGAAATAAAACAGGTGAATTTGTACCCAGACCTAAACTTTTTAAAACTTCAGAGTGAGACAGGACCTTCGGCAAAACGAGCACCTGGCTTAGGTCGGTGGTGTCTTGTCCAGGTTTGGATGAGCTGTTTCTGAGCTCACCAAGCCACCCTTGTTTCAATTCCACTGGAATCAGAAGGGGCACCAAGACCTGAGCAGGATCTTTCACCAGCACTTCGTGGTGCTTATAGGACTGAGTGAGACTTTGGGACCAGAACACACCGCAGAGGAGAAACACAAGCAAAAATTCCCATGTCCTCCTGCAGAAAGAGACCACACAAGCTCACTCCTCCTTGGCAGTCCCTGGCTGAGGTAAAGGCATGCAGGAGCTTCCCAGAGAAAGGCATGGCTAGGGAGGTATTGGTGCATTTGTACTGATATATTTATGATCTATCAGTACTCAAAGGCGTTTTTATGTTGGTGTTTTTCTGATGTCCTTCAGAAGAATCCAAACACCCAACACTTTCCCGAGCAGAATGTCAAGTCCCCGATCTCTGTGGGGTCCACAGGGCTGGTTAGAGGCAGAACACGAGTGGAGAAGGTGCATAACAGTTACAAAAGAAAAAAGAAAAACTAATAAAAATTTGCGTTATCTGCAATCCCCCATTGACAAACGTTGCTTGAGAGCCTGTATTCATTTCTGCAGATACTACTGTGTAAGTCTCTGGTGCAGTGCATCCTCATCAGTGCTTGAGCTCAGACCAGAGACATCCTTTTGAAGCCAAAGAACACTGCAGTTCAAACCACGGAGAGGCCTCAGGCATTTAGACTGGATTCCTTCAATCTGAACTGGAGGGACAACCTCCAAGGGCAAGCCCAGGGCACTCCAGCTCTTCCAAAGCTTTCAGTCCACACACCTAGACTAGAGCTAGTCCTAAGGAAAAGCTCTGAAATTAAATATGCAGTGGATCCTCAGCAGTGACAGTTTTACTCCCTGGTTCACCTGCTGATGGACTGTGTCGCTTGTAAATGTAAACATGGCCTTGCAAGGGATTCCTGTAATGCCTCTTTTAAGTGAAGACAGCCCAGGCCATCACGAAACACCCCCAGCAGCCCTGGGTGAACAAGCCACGTCGTGGCTGTCACACACTGCTCTTGAAGGATGTTTTGTTCTCAAGCAACGAAGCTCAATAAACAGAAATCCATTTTAAAGCAAGAGGTTTGACTCTTCAGGTCTGGCCTGTGCAGTCTGGTTCTTTAACATCTGCAGAGAAGCTGCTGTTTCAAATGCCTTCCATTTTTCTACCTCTCATCCTGCGAGGATGATTTTTGCTGAAGTCGAGCTCCAGCCTTGCTTTCCTTACCTTGCCGTCTTCGCACCTCCTCGTGTTTCCACGTTCTCAGCCGGGATAATCTCCTGCTTCCTCCTTCTGTTGGGCACTGTGAGTTTATTCACAGACCCTTCTCACAGCTCCTGTGGACTAAACACAAGTGCCACGCTTGCGTGTTTGCAAAAGCAGATGGAAATGTCTCAGCAGGCCACCAGAGTGGTTTTACCGCTTCATGAACAGCTCCTCGGCCGGCGCTTTGTGCAAAGGGCTCTCTCGTGGCAGTGGCAAAATCTCGAAGTGGAAATAAGTAAAAGAGCTCTTTTTCCTGCCCGTGTGTACCAGTAGGAGTAGCTGCACCTTGCTTTGGCAGGGCTCAGAGGGTTTATTTTCTTAGGAAGATGAGGCTTCCGTTTCCAAAACTAACATTTTGTCCTGCAGCTTTCAGGCACCTGATGTGTTGGCACAATCAAATGTTGGGTTGATGAAATTGAATATTCCTAGAGGGGTTTTTTTGTTTGTTTGTTTGTTTATTATGGGTTGTTCCTTTTCCAGGGTCACTGAATTAACTGGATATGAACCCCAAGATCTGATAGAAAAAACCCTCTACCACCACGTCCACGGCTGTGACGTGTTCCACCTGCGATACGCTCATCACCTGTGTAAGTCCAGGGAGTGGGGGCTGGAAGCACAGCAAGGACTTGGACCTGTTGGGGCAAGTCCAGAGGGGGCCAAGATGATCGAAGGGCTGGAGCAGCTCTGCTGGGAGGAAAGGCTGGCACAGCTGGGATTGTTCAGCTGGACAAGAGAAGCTTTGGGGGGACCTGAGTGTGGCCTTGCAGGGCCTGAAGGAGCTCCAGGAAAGATGGAGAGAGACTATTCCCAAGGGCTGGAGGGACAGGACAAGGGGAAATGGCTTCAAACTGCCAGAGGGCAGGGAGAAATGGGATATTGGGAAGGAATTGCTGGCTGGGAGGGTGGGCAGGCCCTGGCACAGGTTGGGCAGAGAAGCTGTGGCTGCCCCTGGATCCCTGGAAGTGTCCAAGGCCAGGTTGGAGCAACCTGGGCTGGTGGAAGGTGTCCCTGCCTGTGGCAGGGAGTGGTACTGGATGATCTCTGGGGTCTCTTCCAATCCAAACCGTTCTGTGATTCCATCTTTCTATGAAAAACATGGAGTAGAGTGAGAAGTTCTGCTGACAACAAGCACGATGATGGAAAGCAGAAAAAACTTTCCAAATCTTGATTGGAGACAGATTTTCAAAAGTGCTTGGCTATCACTTCAGGAAACCATTAATTCTGCAAATAAGCTCAATATTCAATCTACCCTGCTTCTGAAAAAAAATACTTATCTGGCCAGCTTTATCTTTGTACTTAGGAGGTCTGGGCTCTTTTGAAAATTTGGACTTGGTTCTGCATGGCTGAGGGAAAAAAAAAACAAACCAAAAGAGCAAATGAGTGAGTGAGAGGGCAAAATCTGAACTTTACTAGCTTCTGTTGTTAAAATAAAAACTCTGCAACAGCTCCCCATTCCTCTGAAATATGTTAGTAATAATCATCCCGTGTTTGAAGTGAATGCAAACCCAAAAAAAGTCCTCGGAGGAACATTCATTATTAGCATGTGGAT